TAGAAGCAATGTCAGGATGTGAAAGAGGGTCTCCTGGCTATTGCTCTATTCTGTTATGCTTTGGAGAATCCGGGAGCCCCTGGTGCCACGTTGTCATCTTTTCTTGCAAATGTAGCCCCGTCTTGTAAAACCCCGTAACGTTGCTATGTGGGCACATTATCCTCATATTCAGTCAAGTAGCATGGCTTTCAGGACCCAAGTCTAAGCAGTCCCTGAGTGCTTTTATACGTGCATGGGGCTTTTTTTCCAATCAATCTATTCTTCATGTCTTTTTGTGTCCCGCAATGTCACACGATGCTTCCCGTAAGTATTTTGCATGTGATACATCTAAAAACTCACCCAGAGACTTTGTGTGGGGCCTCCTTCTTCACGGGCTAAACTTAGAAGAGTTGTGTTTGAATGAAAAAGGCTGGTAGATGGCTGCTCTGCCCTTGGCCTTTCCATGAGCATCCTCACTTCCAGCATGGGGAGTTAGCTCCAGGCCAAAGGGAACAGTTTCTGGGGGAGGTCTTGCAAAAAGGACCAGCAGGAGGAACCTGGGTTTTAGCTGGTTCCTCTGTTCCCATGTGCTTTATCCTCCAAGAGTCAGGATGCTTCAGATTTGCTCCATCTGAATAAGCTGTGATATCTTTAACAAGCAAGGCAAGTGATTAGGTGTTAGCATGGCTTCCTGGAACAGCCGATTCAGATCCCAGCAGGGACCACATGCGTGTGAGACACTCACTTGAGAGCACTCTGGTGCACGTGGGGCTCTTGGAGCGGGAATCAAACAGCCTCACATCTGTTCTGCAGAGTCTTGGCACTGGAATAGCTTTTATACTGCTGGTTTACCCCATGCCTTCTCTCACTGGGTCCATTTGCAGCTCAGTAGCGAGCTTAAGGTGGGCAAAACCAACACATAGGACAACCCTAGGAAGGGATGGAGTGGAGTTCTGGGTGTCTGTGTGCCATCTAGGAGCTGGAAACAAATAGGAGCCTTGCACTAGATGAGGCTAATTCTGGAGTCCTGTGTCCAGTTTTGGGCCTCCTGCTACAGAAAGGATGTGGACACACTAGAAAGAGTCCAGTGAAGGGCAATGAACATGGTTGGGGGGCTGGGGGACGTGACTGGTGAGGAGAGGCTGAGGGAACTGGGCTGATTTAGTCTGCAGAAGAGAAGACCGAGGGGATTGAATAGCAGCCTTCACCTCCCCGCAGGGGGGCTGCAAAGAGGATGGAGCTGGTCTGGTCTCAGTGGGGGCAGATGGCAGGACAAGGAGCAATGGGCTCAAGCTGCAGCAAGGGCAGTTGAGGTTGGATACTAGGAAAAACTCTCTCACGAGGAGGGTGGTGAAGCACTGGAATGGGTTACCAAGAGAGGTTTAAGACCTGGCTTAACAAAACCTTGGCTGGGATGATGCTTGGAGCAGGGGCTTGGACTAGATGTGACCTCTTGAGCTCCCCTCCAACCCTCATTTTCTATGCTTCTAAGACTATGTGAGCAGCCAGGTCCCTATGGGCTTCGACAGGCCACAGGCCCAGCGGTCTGGGAGTCTCTGCCCTAGAAGACTGCACCGTGATGCTTAAACAGCAGCAAATGCAAGTGGGGAGGCAAAGTGACTCCCCACTCCGATGCTTCTGACTGCATCACTCCCCCAGTACCTTGAAAGCACAAGGCAGGAGGAAAAACCAGCTGCGATCATTTTATTTACCTCTGACTTTTCGTCTTCTTGCTGGAATTAAAATCCATCTAACATAAACATCCTTCGGGATTTCTGTGGAAGGCCTGTAAACATTGGTTTCAAAATATTTTGCTCACGCCCCCTCCTGCCGGGCTGCTTTGAAACCTAGCTGGGGGTTTTTCCCTGCGTCTCATCAAACCGCTGCTGCTTTTGTCTATATCTGGCCGTTGCGTGGACATAAACATTGTCACAACTTGATGTGCAGCTGTTATGACTGGTCTCCTACATGCACTGGTATCCTCACCAGCTCCGCAGCTGGACTTCCTTAATTTGCTTTAAACAAGGAGAACATAAACACTGATGCCTCGGACTGACGGCAGTACCGCAGCATACAGCCTTTTCCACATACTCACATCTGTGATATACTTGATGTGCAATGAGCCGGAGGGTTTATCTCCATCACTGAGCCCCTTCTGCTGCAGCCGTGCTGGGACAGCCATGGCAAAACCCCTAGTGAAGATCATTGAGAAGCAGGGCAGGAAGGGAGCTCCAGAGGTCACATCTATCCAACCCCCTGCCTGACACAGGCTCAGCTTTGTCCAAACCATCCCAGACACATCCATCATCTTCTAAACTCTATGTAAGACTACTGTCCACCCTGACGCCACCTAGACATCACACTCAAACCTGCCACAGGGAAAGCAGGGGGACCACAGCAACCAACATCCTGCTTCTGTAAAAGGTTGTGCTCAAGAGATCCCAGGTGGAGGGCCACAAACCTGCTACAGAGGAAGCTTGTGAGATCCTACAATGCTCCTTTCATCCTTAGGAAAAATTGCTTTCCAACCACACAGGTTCCTGCAGGTGAGCAGGAAGAGCAAAGTCCGATGCTGCCAGCAGTGTGGCACTTGCTCAGTATTGTTGCTCTGTGTCCAGGGAAGATGAAGGACCATGGCTGTAGCTGAAATGATTCTGCAGCTCTTGACATGAGCCCTTGCTCTGGTCAGAGTGGTGATGAGAAGGAGCCTGCGAGCTTTTACCTCTTCACTGACTTAGAGCAGCCAGCGCACCACAACGACTCTTCTCAGCAACCTTCCCGTGAAAGAGGCCAGAAGAGATACCGCTCGGTGACTGGGATGGGGCTGGGTTTCCTGAGTTAAGGAGTCTTCTTTGTCGTGTCTCCAGTCCAGCCTTTCTATATGGTCAGTTCCCAATATCCTGCACAGGCCACTGCTTCTGGGGTTGGTGTTGCCAGAGCTTGTGGGGTGTGTTGCGGTGCTACGGGGCATCTCAGGAGATGATCCATGTTTTACTTCTCCTGACAAACACGTTGTTCGGCTGCATAGAGGCCCCATGATTTCATGAGTTAAGGAATAAATTTGCACCTTATAGACTGACCAAAGTGGGTGGGGGGGTGGGTGGGTGGGGGTGTGTGTGTGTGTGTGTGTGCGTGCGCACGTGCGTAAGCTCGAGTTTTTCTGAGCTGAAGTCCACTTCATCAGATGCTGTGAAAGGACGTGTGAGAGCTTTAGAATAAGGAGTGACCGACTGCTTCAGCAGCAGTGAGTGCAAAGACATAATGCAACCGGGTTAAAAGGTGTCTCCTCTGAACAGGAATCAAGTCAAGAGCCCTGTCCTTCAATACATTCTTGCAGGGAAAAAATTTACAGGGCAGACTGAGGGCATCAATTCTGTCTCCTGATAAAGTCTAAAGGAGCAAGTCTGGTGAACAGAGTAGAGGGAACAAGTGTGGGGCCCTTCTAGGCATAAGGATGGGGCCTGAGGTTTAGATGCTCTCCTTGAATTATCTTGCTGTGATAGAAAACCTGGCCGACTCTCACCGGGACATCTAGTTTGAGAACAGACTTTTTCCCCCAGGCAAGTGAAGAGAGCACAAGACACTGTCACTCTCCCCTGGGGTCTCGCTCAGCTCAGCGTGGGGATGATGTGCCTGGGTGCCGGCTGGAGATCTCATCCAGTTAGACTGGCTGAGACCCACACATGGGCCAGTTTTACTTCTCAAGTCAATGTTTCATGGCAGAGATGATTCAGCTGGAAATGGGAAAAACTCCTTGGCTGATCATTTGACACCTTCAAATGATGGTGTCTTGTGCCCTGGAATGGGCTATAGAGGTGCAATATTCTGATATGTGGCCCAGGGAGAAAGGGAGCCCAGTGAAGATGCTAGCGGGGGATAGTTCTCATCTAACTGGGCAGGATATTACAGGACGTGCACTGGGGGTAAACAGTAAGTGCTGGTAAACCTTGCAAACCCCCTAGCTCAGTCTTATGCTCCATGAAGCCTGAAGGTTTATTTGGAGCTTGTCCAAATGCCTTGGGCCTTATTCCAGTTTGGCATAAGTAGCTCTAACTTCATGGATTAAATTGAGTCACATGCACACCCCAGGTCTGGGGAGTCTGCAGATGTGACCTGGGAAAGCCTGTGAGTGGTGGTGCCCTCTGGAGACCTCACAACCCAGCCTTTTGTGTCCTCCTTGGATCTCCCATGCCAACGGCAACATTTGGGAGCTGCCTTTGCCAATGGGAAACAAGGGCACGTTCAAAACCATGGAGCAGGCTGAGCTCGAGCTGGGCTCCAAAATGGGTGCTGATTCAGGGAAAGAAGGGAATTGGCCAGCTGTTTTTTCTTTCCTTCAAATCAGGCAGCCCACCCCTCACATAGTGTGTTGCTCTAGAGCAGGGGTGGGCAAAATACGGCCCAGGGGCCAGATCCAGCCCACCAGGCCATTCTACCCAGCCTGCGGGGCCCCTAAAAAATGTAGAAAATTAATATTTATTTGCTCCTAGCTGCCTGTCAAAGATGACAGGACCCAGGGGCAGTAGGGCCCAGAGGGAACTGGTGGCAGGACCCAGCAGCAAGGCCTGCCCAGCCCTACCCCCACAACCAGAAACCCCTGCCTAGCAGAGGCTTCTGGCCTGGGACCATGGGGCTGTTCCTGCTTCCCTGTGCTGGAGAGGGAAATGCAGCCCTCAACAGCTTGCCAAAACTCAGTAAGCGGCCCTCCGCCTGAAATAATAGCCCGCCCCTGCTCTGGAGTGTGCCCGAGCAGCACCTGACGATTTGTGAACTGAGAACATCAGATGTTGAAGGCAGGAGGTAGGTGTGTAAAATGTGAAGAGCCCTGAAGAACGGTCACTACTAGAAATGTTTGCAAACAATGATTGCACAAGGCTCTGATGGGCTTGTAAAAGGATACGAGGCACTTCCTCCTCTAAAACCTCTTCCAGCGTTATAGAAGAGGCTCTTTTACCTGCTTGCTTCCTGCCCTCTGTTGATGCCCACCTGTTTGATTCTGACGTGCTGGTTTCCTTTTGCAGCCGGGGCTGGGGTCTGTGCCTGGACGATCCACCGGCCAAGGACGTGGTTGACTTCCCCTTAGTCCCCCCCGGAGTCCTCTATGACGTTAGCCATCAGTGCCGGCTACAGTACGGACAATATTCCACCTTCTGTGATGACATGGATGTAAGCAGGGGCTGGGTCTTCCTGGGCTGCTTTTGTAAATCTGTGCACAGAGACCCCCACCCAGGTGATGGAGGGACAGGTCCTTCCAGATAAATTATTGTTGTTCAAAATGTTGTGGTTGTCTTGGCTGAATCAGAAGGGAGGTCTGTGTGTGGAGCCTTCAGCTCCCCAGAGCAGCCCACAGAGCCAAAATGATGGCAGATTCTCCTTGAAGTTCAAGGCTGGGGTCACTGCAGCCATGGCAAAGGGGAGAGGGGAAGGCAAGGGCCAAACTGGAAGAGGAAAGGGTGACAGGGAAGGGGCAGGGGTTACAGACCAAACAGCCACCGAGGTCAGGTCTTTGCTGATCCGTGAAGTCCGAGGGAGTGGGCTGTTTCAAACGGGTCTGATGGGTGCTGGGAGCATGAAGCTGTTGGTAACCCCCCTCCCCCCATGTCCACTTGCTTTCTGCAGAGCGTCTGCAACACACTCTGGTGCACAGTGGGCAACACGTGCCACTCGAAGCTGGACGCGGCTGTGGACGGCACCAAGTGTGGCGAGAACAAGGTAACGCGAGGCAATCATCTGGCTCACGCTCCAGCTGGGAGGATCTTGGGGGCGATGGGCTGTCGGGCACAGAGCCAACAGTGGGGAGCGAGTCACAGAATAGGTGTTAGCAGCTGCAGGGTGGACATGTCCAGTTGGCTTAATTTGAGAATGGCTTATACGTCCTGTACTGGGAATAATTCAACCAGCCTGTGCTTATTGCCCCGCAGGGGTCTGTCGTGATGCTACGGCCAGCCCCGCTCTGCTAGGCTGGAAGGACATGTACATACAGGTGTGCCATCTTTCTGTGCACACAGGTCAGCACAGCCAGGGAAGGGGAGAAGAGATGCAGGGGGTTGTGCTCCTGGCTTTGAAGGGGAATAGGAAAAGCCTGAGTGTCCCAGCCACGCGTGAGTGGGAATGCTGACTGCAGGCAGCCCAAACCCTGGCAAAGCCCCCATTGCCTCAGACTGATGAGAAAGATGAGACCTAAACGCATAAAGCAGCAGCTTATTAAGATTCATTAGAGCCAGAGCCTGTTCTGCTCTCGGATGGGTTTTTCTGACAGCTGTTGCCCCCCTGGGCCAAGTCCCAAAGAGAGGAAAAGGCCTGATGGAGGCTCTTGTTCCACCTGTTGAGATGCCAGGGCAGCAGCAAAGCAACCAAGGAACTTCAGCAGCAGCCCAGCCTCGTCTCCTGGTGTTTGCAGCCCTGCAAAGGCAAAGGAGCAGGGAGCCACCTCTGTTAACAATCCTTCATGGGCTACTGCCAACAACCCCAGGGCTGCTCTGAGCTGCACGTTGAGTCTGGAACAACGGCCCCAGGTAGCATTAAACAGCATAAAGATCTTGTGAGCACGTCTTCCCCTGCCTCTCCTGGTCCCGGCTGTGTGAGCAGCTGGTGCCAGTAGCTAAGCTTTGCTGATTTTGAAGGGCTCTGGAGGATTTGCCTGTAACATCTGCCATCTCACCCATTCTCCTTAGTTAAGCTGCATTGGAGCTTTCCTGAAGAAACCAAAGGCAAAGCTGATGTCTTGGGCGTGAAATGCAAACTGCCCAGATGCTGCCCAGAGGTCCAGGGCACCAGGAAGCTTTGTTCCTGCCAGCAAATCCTAAACTAAGCACGTATCCCCACTCTTATTTTCCCTGTGAGCGATGGGAGCACAGCTGGGGTCAGAAGACCTCTCCCCTGGGATGCACCAAGCTGCCCAGCTCACATCTGGGTGCAAAGACAGCTATGAATCCTCAGCGAGCATCTGTATTTCAAAGACAGGTTGCCCTCTGAGAGGTTTCTCACTCCAGGCTCCCAGTTTGTCCAGGGAGCACCTTGTACAGCTGCTAACCCTTCGTTGTGCTCACTCTGTGTGTTGCTTCGCAGTGGTGCTTCAATGGGGAGTGCATGCCAGTGGGCTTCCGCCCCGATGCCATCGACGGCAGCTGGGGAGCCTGGAGTTCCTGGGCGAGCTGCTCGCGGACGTGCGGCACTGGCGTGCAAAACGCGGAGCGCCAGTGCAGCAACCCCACGTAAGTGAGTGCTCTCGCTCTGGCTGGATGGAGTCAGAGTCCCCCAGGGGCCGTTCCCAGCTCACCGTGTAGGGCCAAACGCCTCCTGCTCCTTCAAGTGCCTCCCTGCCCTTAGCACAAGCTGCTTGGATCTTGGCTTTGCAGTGCATTATACAGATGGATAAGAGGTGATCCATGGTGATCCATGGGCCAAGAGGGCATTACCATGGGCTCTTATTTTATCACCATTTTAAGCAGCTTTCCTGTGTGGCAATACAGGCAGTTCATGGGATGGGTTTATCTCCCACTGCTGCAGTAAAAGGCTGGTGGATTGAGGTTTTGATGCGTCTTTTGTATACAAGTCTTCCTGATAAGCCCAGGCAGAAAGCATGAGAGAGAGATGATGTGAAGACCCTTGTGGAGTTACCCACATGCCGTGTCCTTTGTTAATGCCCACAAGAAAAAAAAGCAGAATATTCCTTTAAGCAAAAATCACCTGGAAAATGTCTGGTGCTGTTTGCTGCCCATTGTCTGCTCCCAGCAGTTTATGCACAGTTTTCAATGTGTGTGGTCTAGCCAGAGGATTTCCTGCTCTCAGGCTTTCCCGTGGCAGCAGCCAAAGGTGACACAAGGAAGGTGACTCTGCCATGAAAACCACTGGAGAACAGGCTGTGGCATAGCGCTGCGCTGTCCCCCACTCAGGCTGATGCTTCTGCTCCCCACGCGCCTCTTCCCCTGCAAGACTGTTGTAGTGTAGGAGAAGCAAGAACTTCCCAGGTCCCCGGGCATGTAGGGACTGGGACCCCAAGTGAGGAGCAGGGGTTTCATGTGATCCAGGCTCTGAAGGATACGAGGCCACGTCATGCCACCAGTTTGCAAGTGGAACTTGCCATGATAGTCCTCAAAGGAGCAATTCTTGCCAGGCGGTGGCACACAAGACAGAGAGGTTTTCACGATCCACCCACCAGAAAAAGGGCCGAGGTCAGCGGATAGACCCGATGGCCAGGAAACCAGGGACCTCCCTCACACTCCCTTGCAGTGAGACGTTTGCACAAGGGTCTGTCCTGCCAGAAGTGCTTTCATGGGCTTTTCCAGATGGCAGAGCTGATGGCAGATCTGTGCTGTCAGAGCCCTGGCAGGGAGGGTCCCTGGAGACCCTGGCCTACCCACATCATCTCCAAAGAACAAGGTGATGCAGCCTGAGCCCCCACGGCGCTGTGCCTGGATGTGCTATCTCCATTGCATCCAGAAAAGTGCGCTGCCTTCTTTCTAGGAGCTTCCATGGAAAGCAGGAGCAAAAAAGCAGGACCTGCAGACATGGCAAACCTGCCCTAGACATGTAGACCTCGCATGACTCCATAGCACTCCCTCGCTCAGTGTTGTGACTGACTGCATGTGCAAGAGGTCATGAGAAAGCCAGTGGTGGGTCTAAAACACAATCAGCAATTTTATGGCCCTCAATTAATTGGGGGGAATGGGAGGGGGGTTGGAATCCAGTCTTTCCTGACTTCAGAATGCAACCAGAGTTTGTTTCCTGGCTAAACTCTCCAGCTAAGTCCAGTATTTTATCCTGTACCAGTGAACAAGGTGCAAAACAAATGCACGAGACCTAGTTCCTAGGCCAAGAGCAAGGTGTGAGTTTGGCATGTGTTCTGCAACAGAAGTGCAGGGTGGTTTGCAGAGTGCTTTACACACGGGCACCGGCTCACAGAGAGCAGTCATGATAGAGCTCTCCCAAGGGGACTCTTGCTTTCGACTCCTGGGAGTTGAATAGCCCTTGACTTTGCTCCTTGATGAAGTGAGGAAAGATTGCATAGGTGTCATGTTTCCTTCTTTTGGTGCTTCCATAATGCTAAAAAATGTATATATTTCCCTGCATAGCGTATTTTCCACATAAAGGGATGGATTGGAGGAGATGTCACTTTCTAATGGTCATGTGGAAAGGTGTCAAACAATATCCCATGGCCATCCTTACTGGGCAAACTATTATGGACCAGGGAACAACTACGAATGGTTTGGCAGAGCCCATGCACTGGAAAAAAGACATAATTGCTCTTGACAGGGGGGAGGGGAGTTCTATTTAATAAAAAGTCTTGGACAAATTCTTTTTTATTTTCCCTTTGGACGCATTTTCCCATGGTCCCCTAGAAAACAAGGCAGAACTTAGACCTTCGGGACAGGATGGAAATTGTTTCCATCCTTTGCAAACGACTGGCACAGAGGCCCTGATCGAAAATCCCCCAAAGACAACAAGAAGGTTCCTGTCGAGTCCCCAGGGCCTTGGCTCATCTCCCTAATGAAACATCCTTCGTCTGTGCAAATAGTTTATCAGCTCTAGACGTCGTCCTAGCTGGTCCGTGATCCAGTCCTGAAATTCATGCTCACACAAGTAGCTCCCCCCGAAACCATTTCCTGTGTCTTTACTACGTCTTTGTTCATGTGAATAGGGGTGAGACCAGCTGTTGTGGGAACCAGAGCTGGAGGGCGCGAGAATGGTCACTTGTGAACATTTTGGGAAGGTGGTCCTGGACCCCCAGCTCAGCCAGGCCTTGACCTCTCACGTCAGACCACTGTCAGAACAGCTCGTTAGGGCTCGTTCCTCCAGAGCGAGAGCAGGGCTTGCATGGCCCAAGTGGTGGCGAGAGCTGGTTGAAAGATTTCTGTTCTTCATAAAAATCTGTTCTTCGTGGAAAAGACAGGCAGTGTTTGGGTGTCCCTCCTTGCCTAGCCAGCAGGTCGAAATGCATCTGACAGCCCTTCTGGGAACTGTCTGCATAACATGAATCCTGTTGTCACCCATCCAGACAGAGTCTAATGAGATCGCTCATGCCACGAGTATCAGACCCCCCAGAACAGCATGCACAGCAAATGAGGGGATAACAGCCTGTTTTTTGCTGGGCTCTGAATGATTATAAAATAGTGCTTCTCCAGGGAGTATATATTCAATTCAGGTAGCTGAGAGGTGAAAATGAATGTCCTTATTTTATCCCTTGGAGGGGTCTAGGAAGCACTTCTTGCTGGTGTCTTGTGGGTGTTGTGACTAACCATGGTGTGTGATTTGCACTGTGCATGTTACACCCCAGACCACGTGCCCAGCTGTGAGATCACTTTACAATCACAGACAATGAGGGTTGGAGGGAGCTCAGGAGGTCACATCTAATCCAACCCCCTGCTCCAAGCAGGACCAGCCCCAACTACATCATCCCAGCCAAGGTCCACCACCTCTCTGGGTAACCCATTCCAGTGCTTCACCACCCTCCCAGTGAGAAAAATTTCCCTAATATTCAACTGCAACTTTCCTTGCTGCAACTTGAGGACAGGAGCCTGGGAATGGAGAAGCCTCTGGGATGACTAAGTCCCGTGTCCTGCGGTCACAGACAGCCATGCCACATCAGACGATCCCTTTCACAACCTGATTAGCCTCCATTTGCTAATTGTTCTTGTAGCTTCTCCTCTGATCAGGACCCAGGGCCTTCCTGCTGTGACAACTGGAACATTTGCTTTTAATTTCCAGCCTAAATTTACTCACAGCCTGTTTATACTCATTTGCTTTTGTGCTGCCATTGGTCCTTATTTTCCACAGCTGTTTCCCATGCCCGATGCTTAACTACCGGGATGTGTTTGTAGACAGAAATCAGATACCTTCTCACCTTCTATTTTTCTAAGCTAGACACACCAAGCTTTTTTAGCATCTTCTGCTATAGGCTCCCTCTTCCCATGATCATCCTGATTGTCCTTTTCTGTACGTGGTCCAGTTTGAATCACCTCTCTTGAAACTGGGTGACTAATATCATGCAGTATTCCAGAGAAGGTCATGGAAATGCCCGTATAATGTCATTAATCCTTCCTTAGCTCTCCTGGAAATACTTTTCTTGGAACATTTTTGGATCACATTAGCTTTTTTCATGGCCACACCACAGTGAAGGATCATAGTTGTCCTGCTATCAATTAAGACACCTAGATCTTTCCCCTCCTCTATCATTTTAAGGAGTAGTGGTCTCAAGTGAAGAAGCAATGGGCTCCAGTTGTAGCAAGGGAAGTTTAAATTGGATATTAGGAAAAACTTTCACTAAGAGGGTGGTGAAACCCTGGAACAGGTTACTCAGAGAGGCGGTGAAATCTCCATCCTTGGAGGTGTTTAAGACCCGGCTAGACAAAGCCTTGGCTGGGACGATGCAGTTGGGGCTGGTCCTGCTTGGAGCAGGGGGTTGGACTAGATGTGACCTCCTGAGGTCCCTTCCAGCCCTCATTTTCCATGTTTCTATGATTTCCAACTAATGAACACCCACTTTAGAGCAGAAATTCTTGTTAGTCCCTAAATACATGATCTTGCACTTGGTATAATTGGATTTCTTCCCATGGGTATTACCCCAGCCTTCAAGGTCATTTAGTTGTTCCTCTCCAATGCTCTGATCCTTCTCTGCATTGATGGTGCCTGCAAATGTGCGTCATCCTCAAATTTCATCTTGTTGTGCAAAGGCCTTGAAGGAAAACACTAAATACAATTGGCCTCAAGATAGTAACTCCATTAGTAACCTCCCTCCAGCCTTTCAACACCAGGCATTTCCATTTCTTTTTTTTTTTAAAGAGTGGAAATCAGACCTAACTTCACACCAGGGTGAAAACGAGCCCACAAAGGCTGTATCGGCAGAGGTAACTTCCAACCACTGTAACAGGGAACAGCAGCCCAGGAGTTTGCACTCTGTGTTATAATGAAACTCATACCTATGTGTGCTCCTATAGCAACTCAAGTGAGCTAAATCACCAAAGCTTTAACAAGGTTAAATCCACAATGGTTTCCTATACTTTTAGCTCAGTAGAAGCCCACAGGCATCAAATGTACATCATAGCAGCTTATATTGCTATCTTTCCACACAGGCATAATTGTGACATCTATCTGCATCCTAAGATAATGTGAATTAAAGTGAGCTAGAGGTTATACACAGCTCTATGTAGGTCTCAGCTAGTAAAATGTGTTGTTGTGCCTTATCGCTTCATAATGTTGTAGGGCAAGTCTCATC